GGGCTTCCTAGGATGTCTTGATAATGGATGTACAGTGCATTTATTGAAATTGTAATCTATAGACATCTTGTTCTTCATGAAAGCCAGCTGCCTCATTACTCTGGCTGGTACATGTCCAAGCCTTCTGTGCCACACATTATTGTCAGCTGTAGGATCTTCTGCCAAACAACTCCCAATATGTTATCTGAGCTTATTTTCACTTGATCCATCTAGTAATAGCAGGTAAATACCACCCTTTCTTTACCAATCCCCTTCACTTTTCCAATGCGTAGGTCCTGAAATACACAGAATGATGGAAAGAAAAGCACTGAGCAAAATAGTTCCTTAGTCAAATTTGAAATTGATAGTAAGTTGTATTTCAGGTACACACAGAACATTGTAAATTGATTCACCACCCGTAATATTACAATTTCCTTGGTATACAACTGGTACTGATTTTCTATTTGGCAGATGAACATTACATCCTTTGGTGTTAGGTAATTTAGTTATATTAGTCAGCAAGTTAATGTTTGAAGTCATATAATTTGTTGCCCCTGTATCAATGATCCAAGGAATATCACATGTTTGAGTCAATTGTGAATCAGTGTTACCTGCCATATTTGCTGCAAACTCTTCTCCCTTGTCCTGATTCAATAGCTTTATTATCTGATTGTACTGCTCATCAGTGAAATATTTGTGCATTCCTTGTCTTGCCACATTAGAATCTGCAGATGTGGCTGCTTGAAACATATCATCTTTTGCATGAAATCCATCAACCATGGCTGCATTGGCTTGTCGATATTCATGCTTCTTCTTTCCTTTGAAACCAGGTGGGTAGCCCACCAACTTATAACAAGTATCCTTAGTGTGACCTTTGATTCTACAATACTCATAAGATAGATTTCCATACCTTTTGACCTTCTGTGGATTATCTCTTGAACTCATTAAGGCAGTAGAATCATTCACCTCATTCACATGCGTATTGGTCATACAGACTTTCCTTTGGCTTTCCTCATGAATTAGCATAGCATATGCATGACTCACACTTGGTGATGGGGACAAGAGTAGCATCTGACTTCTAATGGCACTAAAGCTATCATTTAATCTCATCAAAAATTGAAAAAGCTTCTGTTGTTCTAGGTGTGTTATGAATTCCCTTGTTTCAGGAGTTACAAGCAGATTTGGAATAAGAGAACTATATGCATCCCACAATAGTTTAAGTCTAGAATGATAAGCAGAAATACTGGAGGTACCTTGAGAAACTGCAGCAATTTTGCGATAAAGATTGTAGATCCTTGATCCATTGATTTTGTTAAAACGATCCTGTAAATCAGTCCAAACCTCATGAGCATTACTGTCATAGACTATCCCATTCACTAATTTTGGTGACATAGTGTTCATAATCCAAGTCAAAACTGTGGCATTGACACGTTCCTAATCCTCGCCTAGATTATCAGTGAATTGATCCTTAGTGCATGTACCATTTATGAACCCTAGTTTTCGTTTAACTTTCAACGCGATCTTCATTGCTTTGCTCCAAACTGAATAATTCTCGCTCCCAGTCAATCGGACTGAAATTATTACATTTCTCGGTGCATTTGAAGGTTGTAGATACAACGGATGTCGCGAATTCTCAATATCCAATTTAGCCATTGTCGATTTACTCAGAAATTGGGGAATTGAGAATAGGCAAAGAACAATTGAAATTTCTCTCAACGATTTCATAGAACAACTCTTAAAACCAGAGTCACACAGCTTTGATCGGTTCTCTTCAGCTCTGATACCATGTTAAATCCACCTTACTGAGTGGATGCTGAGCTCAACTAAGAACGAAGATGAAAGCTATGGAGAGAAGCTTCTGGACAGTTGCATTTTTTGTGCATTGAGAGAAAGAAAAATTAATTACAACAATTCTTTCTTACAGATACATACACGTATATATACACTCCAAAACTAGCTCACTTAATTAGTATTAACTCTAACACTAATTATGTTATAACTAACTTCTAGACTCTAATTAAAATTATGCTAAAGTGACTGCCTGTCACTCAATACTCTATCTCAGCTTCTCAGATTTTCACTGTACACAACTATCATTTTAGCACTTCAACAGTTAAAGCCTCAACACCTCCTTGAACTTGATACCATTTATTTAATGTGCACTTAAATTATTTTTAGTCCAAATTATTTTTGAACTTGGCAACCTTGACATCTTGAAACTCAAAGAAAGACAATTGTCGGTCAAACGATACAAGACACACCAAAATGAAAAATTGTTCTTATGCAACAATCTCAATAACGTTCAAAACAAAATGAATAAAATACTCCCTTCCAAAAACAATAAGTGACCAATTTGCTTTGAGCACACCCATTAAGGAAATACCAAATTCTAGATAAAAATAGTTAGTGTGACTAAACTACCCTTCATTAAATGTTGCACCATAGTAATAGTAGCACTTACTTCTCTTCTCAAATGTGAGGAGTAAATGATATTTTAGGGATACGTACATAAGAGTAATTTTAGAAAAATAAATTGAATTTTTTCTTGATTATATAAATGGACACTTATTTTGGACCAAAATAAAAAAGCAAATTAGTCACTTATTGTGGACGGGAGGGAGTAGTAACCTAGTAGTGGCAGCGACGGATCCACCATCATATTATTCAAAGCGGAACATAAATTTATGTATAAGAGTTCACTATAGTTACAACAAAGAGTAGATATAAACAAGGTTACTTTACAAATATAATGAGTTTAATGCTAAAAACATTAAGGGATTTTAACCTAGATATACTATAATAAAAACCTATTTACCTCTTTTATTTAGCTTCCTTATTAATTACTTTGTATATCCATATTTACAAATTATATACAAAATCATAAAAAGAAGAAAATTCAAGATCCCTTAAATTTAGCCTATTAGTTCCATGATACCCAACCCCCCATTTCCAATATCCCTACATTTAAGATTCTATTCCTTTTCCAAATGATTTCAAAAATATTTTCTCTCTTTCTTAACAATCACGCAAAATCTCTCTTAATTTTTTATAACCACTGTTAAATAGGGCAGTCCTGTGCACTAAGCTCCCGCTATGTGCGGGGTCCGGGGAAGGGCCGGACCACAAGAGTCTATCGTATGCAGCCTTACCCTACATTTCTACAAGAGACTGTTTCCACGGCTCGAACTCGTGACCTCTTGGTCATATGGCAGCTATGCCATGACTCGAACCCGTGACTTTCTAGTCACTGTTATCCCCCCAAAATTATCGATTCTTTTCCTTTTCCAAAGCTTTTCAAACCCAATTTCCTCTTTCTTACTAATCACCCAAAATCTCTCGTTCTTATTGATATAATGCAGACAAAATTCGGAATACTGCTTTAGAATCAAGTTGTGGGTAAGTTATGAATCTTGTTTTATTTCTTTCCAAATTTTTATTCTATGTGACTTGTATATGATACTTCAATACCCAAAACAATACTTGATACAATACTAATACAATTATAATAGATTTTTAATATAGAGTTGTGGATGAAATTTGAAGAAGATGAAGATCATAATTGTATCACAATTTTTCAGAAATGTATCACGATTGTATTATAATTGTATATGTATCATAATTGGTGAAGGAATTATATTACAAATGTATGATAATTGTATATTCATTGCATATTATTACGATCGAGCAGCTGTGAGTTTGTGACGAATTTCACATTTTGCATCACAAATATATGATAATTATATATTATTTTATTAGTATTGTATCGTGTATTATTTTGGATATTAATATACCATATAGATACAATTGTGATACAAATATGATACAATTATGTTTTAAGCATTGATGTATCTGATACAATTCAAATGCAATTATGATACATTTATCAGACAATTATCATACAATTCCTGAATATTTCTTCATTTTCAGTGTTGTCCAGTCTCCCAGCAAAAGAATGATGCAATTGATGATTTTTTAATAATATAAAGTTGTCGGTGTAGGCATGTAAAATTTATTGAGTTTAAATTCAATAAATAATTTGGACCATATTTTAAATATACTAGTCCAAATAAATATTATGAACTAATATAATTGAGTTAATTATATAAATAAGCCCAACATAATTAGGCTACAAATGATGATCCCACTTCATTAGGCCCAAGATATCATCTTCCTAGAGGCCCAGTTTGGTGCCACGCGTGAAATGACGTGGCATGCCAAGTCAAATAGAAGAGCCAATAGGATCATGCCACGTGTCAAAATGACAAGGCATGCCAAGTCACATTAAAAGGTCAATGAAACTGAGCCATGTGTGCAAGTGGCATGTTCTGGCCAATCAAATGCGGCCTTGTCGCACTTCAATTTGATTGGTCGGAAAGAGTTTGTTCTTATCATAACTCTTCCCTCCCACAATTATAAATATGAGTCTTCATAACCTAGAAAAAATACCAGAAGTTATAACAAGAAGCAAGAGAGAGCTCGTGGATCAAACACTGCAAATTTCTCTACAAGTCTTGCGTTCAAGAAATCAAGTTCAAGCTCAAGAACGAAGAACAAATCAAGATTCAAGGAGTACGAGTTCAAATCAAAGTTCGTGCTAGTTGAATTCGAGATCATCATTCGTAGCAACAACTACATATTCAAGATCAAGCTCAGAGGCCCTTGAATTTGTTTACTATTGGAAAGAAGAATTAGAGGATTCATAGAGATTGTACACTCACATATTTGAAATAGAATACTACGATTGTTGCAGTATTTTCGGTCTTGATTTTATTTTCTCGACGCAAATTTATTGTCTACAATCGGCAATGGTGGAAAGAGAGAAGGTGGAGATTCTGGGCATAGATTAAGGGATTTTTGATGTAAAGAAAAAGGAGAGAGAAGAGGAGAGGGAAAAAAAGAGAGGAAAGAATGTAATTGAATCCCTTAATTAAAAGCACTAATAATAGGGTGGGAGTGAGTAATCTACATAATTTGTAAGAAAAATCTAGATATTTATTAAAAATTAAGAATCATAGAGAATATAGGTAAACATAGAAAACATAGGTTGAATCCACAAAGTTTAAATGCTGAATTCGTACATGAACAGTGGTAAGACCAAACCCAAACTTAACGCAATGTTATGTTCAGCACTGGTCCATAATCCATATTGACTGATTTCATTTCGATAATGACTTTCAATCATGTTGGGCTAACAGAATTTATGACTACATTAAGGAATGCACACACCCATTTAGGAACTTAATTAGGAGGAAAATTAATTAAGGACATTTAGGGCCTCCTCTCTTGGTCTTCCAGTTATTGTAGCAAGGGCAAAATTGCTTGTTTCCATAGGTTCCTGGAGGCACACAAAGGCACTTCGCACAGCATTTTTGACAGAAAAACATGCATGGTTTCTTGAATGCTGTCTTTGAACATCTGTACATACACCTCGCTCCACACTCTGCAAATTTATACAGACACAAAAAAGAATTGCCTCAGTCATCTCTAACCACTTATTTCATCTTAGGGAAGTAAAAATGACCCAGATGTTTAAAACTCGCCCAAATTTTAACGGGTTGAGCATTTGTAATAAGTGAATTAATTGTGTAAATATTTTTTATTTCGTGAATACATAGAGCTTAAACTCTAAAAAAAATTAGGCGTGCAACAGAATTCTCATACCTTGAGGATGGAGGCTACCAGGAGTGATACCATACTAGAAAAAATGGCAATTAAAGACGTAAGGATTAGCAACTTAATAATTAGGATGAAAAAAGAAGTAGAATTCAAATTGCTCTTTCTCCTAGCAATTCTTACCATAGGAAAAGTATTGGGAGGTTGAGCCTAAGGTGCTGGAGGCTCTGCTATACTTGCCTGCGAAACATTAATGTAAGGCATGTAATGTCACCAACAACCACACTATTATTACTATGTCTCAATCTCAAATAAATTGAGTTCGCTATACATATGTCACTCCTTTTAAACTCTATTTTGGTTGTCATTAGTAACCAAAAGGAATTGATATAAAAAATAAAAAATAAACAAAAAAAGAGGAATAGGAACTTACGTGGGTTGAAACAAGAAGAACCATTAATAGAATAAGATGGAGTAGTATTACAATACTAGGCTTCCTTTCCATTTTGTTTCTCTGTCGCTACAAAATAATTGACCAAAGTGGGAAGTGGGAGGTGAGATAGCTGGCTGAAGAATTTATAGGCAGTTATTAGTGGTTTGTCTATATATGACGTTTGAGAATTTTATTGGTATATCATATTGTTCTCTCTTCTCTGCATGGGGGAGGGTGCAATATGTTAAACAGTATATATCTGATAGCAACATTATAATATATTGCCAAACTTTAGGTTCTGTAAAATTACTTTTAGATCCTTGTCCTTCTTCTTTTTCCTTTAATCATTGTTGTTTTTGTTGTTCGTTTGGACAGGCAAGAGCTTAATTCACTTGAATGGTTTAAGACTTTAAGTTATATCACAAGGAATTAAAAAGAGAAATAACTTTGTACTAAGAAGAGTCAAAGTACCTAGGAGGTCTTATCTAGTAAAGAAAGTGAAAACTATTTTGAGATAGTGCAAAAGGAAAACATTTAATTGATGTGGAAAAAATGTACTTTTTACTCATTTAAATTTCAAAATTTGTCCTTTTTTAAACTATTGATAATATTGTTAACTAAGGCGTAAAAATTAATCATGAGAGCTTATAGAATATGTGTGGTTTCTGTGACAAGAGCAAGAAAATTACGAAACTTAATATACGACACTCGGGGGTCATTTGGTTGGATGTATTAGGAAAACAAATATATGTATTAGTTTTGATATTATTAATCTGCTAGTATTTTTCAACCTATGTATAATTAATATCCGTATTAATTATACACCATATTCAATATTATTCTTTATATATAGCAAATTATGACATTAGCAATACTATAAGGGGTCGTTTGGTAGCCGGTTAGAAAGGAGTTATCCATGTATTAAGACTAGGAAAACTTTATACATTGTTTGGTTAAAAGAAGGGGAAAAAATAATCTCCACATAGAAGCTAGCATAAGTTATACATTATTTGGTTGTTTTTCCTCTTTTCCACATAAAATGTAGCATTGCTAATATAATGTTTGGTTCATGTTTCTCTTTTCTGCATAACTAATACATGTATAAGTTATAAGTAAATATATGTATTATTTATGCAAGGTAGAAGGTGGAATAACTTATACACGTATTAGTAATACTTGTATCAAAACACAAAATGACAAGAATATATACCCTTTATTCAAACTTGTATTTTTTTGCTTAAAAAAAATATTTAAACTATACTAACAATTTTAATAAAATAAAGTAAGCTAATAATAAATAACACTCACATTATTTATATTACTAATCCTTATATAACTACCGCATAACTATTTCCAACATAACTCAATATTGCATAAATTATCCCTGCATAACTAATACATGCATAACTAATCCCTGCATTACTTATTCCTTCATAACCGATACATACGCAACTAATATCTGCATAACTAATACATATATAACTAATACCAGCATAACTCTAACCGGCAACCAAACGACCCCTAAGTTCTAACTTCTAATACATGAATAAGCATGTACAAAGACATAATTGTCCTTTCAAAACCTTTAGGATTTGTTTGGTAGCAGGTTACAAGGTAAGTTATTCATGTATTAGGAGTAACATAACTGAATACCATGTTTGGTAGCCTTTAGTTATTTTGTACAAAAGTCAGTTTAACTAATGTTATGTTTGGTTGCTTTTTCCACTGGTAGTATAAATAATACATAGATAAGTTATATAATAAATCTATGTTTTACTATGCAAGGTAGAATATGGAATAACTAATACATGTATTTGTAATACATGGGTTAAACAATCATATGATTACAAAGCCCTCACATTTATTTTAAATTACACATTCTATAACTAAAATAAAGTGAACATTTAACAAAAAATAATCTCTACATTACAATCCATGCATTCACTACAACATTACACATTTATAGCTATGAAAAACATTGTAGCTAAATATGAAAATTTTCATGGCAAAACACTTTAGCCACAATATTATTTTCCGTAGCATTTGTAGCAAAATGTAGCGTAGCTAAAACTCAGCTACAGACTTTATATGATCTGTGGCTAAGGATTAATACTTATTGCTACGGAAATTTTTTATGTTGTAGCGATGATGGTAAAAGGTTTTTGCTACAAAAAATATACTTATAGCAAGTGATTTTATTCTTTTGCCACGATGAACAAATTTGTAGTTATCTTCATATTGTAGCCACGAATTGTTGTGTTGTAGCAAAAGATTTAATTTATTTGCTATGCAAACCCAAATTTTGTGGCTATTTCTAGAGCTTAGTCTCGTGGCAATAGTACTCATGTTTAGCTACAATGTAAAAACTCCGTAGCTATGAATTGAAGTATTTGCCATAAACCTTTTCATATTGTAGCTAATATTCCATACTTTTAACCAAGAAATATATACTATAGCGAATGATTTTCATCATTTGCTACGAAAAGTGAAAATGAATAGCCATGTTCTTGATACGTGGCTATTGTAGGAGTATATGTTTAGCTACAAATTGAAAAACCCATAGCTAATATTCCATTCTCTTTTGCCATGAAGCATAAAATCATAGCAATAAATTTTCTTCATTTTTGCTATGAAATAAAAAAAATATATAGCTACGTTTTTATTATGTTGCAATATATATGTTTAGCTACAAATTTAAAAATTCATTGCTACTAATTAAAAAATTTCCACAAGCATTATTAGTCACAATAATTCATATAAAGCCTATTAAGAAATACAATCAAATTTTGACAGTGAAACACATAGGCAACTGTAGCATAAGATCTTCAATTACGTAATAAACACAATATATTAATAAACAAAATTTAACAAAAGTTCAACAATATCATTCCAAATATTAAAACATCGTTTGAAACATATCAATAAGCTTTGACAAGAGGAAAAACATTATTCACGTGCCCGTCGACCTTGATGCTTTTATAATTCCTCCACAGGCTGCAATAACAATAGAAAAAAAAGAGCATATAACTAAATGATACAATGAAGTATCTTTTATATAAAAAATTAAATTTTATTTTTAATATGAATATTACNAACATATCAATAAGCTTTGACAAGAGGAAAAACATTATTCATGTGCCCGTCGACCTTGATGCTTTTATAATTCCTCCAGAGGCTGCAATAACAATAGAAAAAAAAAGCATATAACTAAATGATACAATGAAGTATTTTTTATATAAAAATTAAATTTTATTTTTAATATGAATATTACCTAAAAGAAATCACATATATACTAAATTACTAATATAAAAAGATAGTAATAAAAGTCAAATAAGTTACTTACCGTTAGATATATATCTTTTTGTTGTAGACCTTGTGCTGCAAGTATCATTCGAAATTTTTCTTCTCATTATTTATTCATCTCTGCTAGTTGATTATTCATATCTTTCTTGATTTCTTCAACTTGTTCCTTAGCTTCCCTTTTAACGTCTTTCACACGCTCATTTGCCTCTTTTCTGGTCAATTCTAGTTGCTTTATAAGTTGTACTTGTGACGACCCGACCCGTCGTCTCATGAGTTACTACCCCGTTCTTCCCATTTTCTGCTTTCTTATGTTTCATTACCGGTATGGGGTGCATTAGAATTGATTTGGAATGGCTTTGATAAGAAATGAGACACTTAGTCTCTTTTAAGAAGGCTTAAGTTGGAAAAGTCAACCGGA